GGGGATGAATATCTATGAAACAAATAAATATGGAAATAGAGCTGTTCACTTTTCATTGAAGGCTGGCTTTGAAAATTTTAAAATATTAATTGAGTCTGGAGATAATATTCACAAAAATGATAAGCTTTTATTTAATGCCTGCATTATGGAAAACATAAAAGTATTAGCATTCTTAATTAAGATTGGAACAGATCTAAATAGAGAATATTTATATTCTATGACGCCTTTAAACTATGCATGTCTAATTAATAGAAGGGATATAGTGACAAAATTGTTAATACGATCAGGCGCAAAAATTGAAAAAAGAAATATTCTGGGAGATACTTCATTGGGTATAGCAATCGATAGAAGGAATTCAACCATCATACAAGCCCTTGTTGAAGCTGGAGCTGATGTGAATATTATAACTGAATCAGGAAAAACATTTTTGAGTAATGCCGCAATGAAAATTTCAAATCCATATAATAATGATTGTAGCGATTTTAAACTACTCTTAAGGTATTCTGACAAATTTGATTTGAACATCTTTTTAACAATAATAAATCTCAGATCTGATTTCCTTTCTTATGAGCCAATTATGCAGCTAATGATAAAGCATTTGATTCTTCTTCAACCAACATTGGCCATCCCAAAATATATTCATTTGACAAAAGCCTTGTCTAATTTTTGGGAAAATTGTCAGAGTCAGATAAAAATGATGCAAAGTCATATTCTGGGAAAAAGTAGTATTACCTTATATAGGTTCTTGACAGAAACTAATCCTAACAAAGTGACGGGATACCTCAGAAATGATTCTACGGGGCTTCGACAATTTCTAGAATCGAACTTGCCCTGGTACAAAGAACATTTCCCTATTTACTCAGATATGACCGAAGAACGTTATCATGAAGGCATTAAAAGGGTAAAGTCTATTTCCAAGTTCATCAATGTCGCCAGAAGTAATTTCGAAATAACCAAAACACTCGTTTTGCTTAAGATCTTTTATCAAATGGATGTCTGGAATTTAGAAGAATTCTTACATGATAACTAATGTACTATGGTGCTAGAACCTTTGAGATGTATATTTATACCTTTTATATGTAAATAACTTATTACAAAATAGATTCTAATTGATATTTAATGTTTGTTGGTTCTTCCAATTTCAATATAACTTTTAAGTAAAAGCCATAAATAAATGTTATCAACATTTAATATTACTACTCTCTTTTAACAACTATAAATGTGTTATCCTTTTCCTTTCCTTTAGTCCTTTATCCTTTCCTTTTTCTATATATATAAAAATGAATGTATGTGTGTCTGTTTGTTTGTTTGTTTGTCCTTTATGCCTGACCAAACCACTCATTGGATCGCCATGAAACTTTGGGAAGTTATTTAGTATAGTACTGGGAAGGTTTCTAGCAAATAAAATTTTTGAAATAACTTTTCGCCTAGAAATAATCAAGATAAATATTCTAATTTATCTGTTATAATTCAACAATCTGCTCTAAATATTATCATGATGATACGATGATTTTGTAATGTAGAAAATTAGGAAAGACAAAATTCAGGATGACACGGCAATTTATTTGAGACAAGAATAATGATACAATTCAAAGGCAAGATACTATTTCTTTAACTTCCAATTACCGAGGGAACCAATTAATATTGATTTTATTCAACTTATCGAGTATTTTTCAAGGGACCGGGAAAAAATGTTCACTTTATCGAGAGATTCGTTAAACAAACCTTTACTCGGGTAAAACCCGGGCGAAGCCGGGTACATCCATACAAGAATAATGATACAATTCCAAGGCAAGATACTATTCCTTTAACTTCCAATTACCGAGGGAACCAATTAATATTGATTTTATTCAACTTATCGAGTATTTTTCAAGGGACCGGGAAAAAAATGTTCACTTTATCGAGAGATTCGTTAGACAAACTTTTACTCGGGTAAAACCCGGGCGAAGCCGGGTACGTCCGCTAGTATATCTATAAAAATGAAATGCGAAATCGATGTTTGTTATCGCTTCAAGCAAAATCTACTGACTCAATCATTATGGAATTTCGCATGTAAGTAGCTGAAGATTTCGTTTAACATATAGGCTATTCAAAAAACTACAAAGGTTAATGTGCTTTTTTTTTCAATGTTTAACTGAAATGGATTAGTTCCCGCCTTTTGCCGCTTGGCGCCGCACTGGTCGCGACGATACATGAATTTGATTGGTTAATAATTTTACACTTATTTTGTTAGTTTACACGCTGCATTTTTCAAAAGCTAAGATTATATATATTTATTTAAACTCTTTGGAAATATTGTTTAGAAATATTTTTATAATTTAATTGATACTACATTTTTTTAGATAAGGTATACTGTTTGAGTCTCATAAGGAATATTCATATTATATTATACAAGGGGGAACAATAAATAAGGTGAATTATCTTATTTCTTAAAAATTAAAAAAGCAAAAATAATTTAAACCACAGAATATTAAAATATAACATCGAGAGACTATTTAAGGTGTTCTGTTCTTTTTCCCCACACGCGGCGCGAGACTTATAAATAAACTAAAATGAAAGCTCCCTTGAAGGATTGCACCACGCTTGAACAACGTGCAGTTATTCGTTTCTTGAATGCAGAAGGTATTCAAACATCTCAAATATGCCAAAGAATGAAAAATATCTATGGTGAGTCTTGTTTTTCTCAAAAAACATTTATAAATGGGTTAACGAGTTCAAAAATGGACGAATTACATGTACCGATTTTGAGCAACCTGGACGACCAAGTGTTACAGCGACGCCAAGCACGATAAATGCGGTTGAAAACTTAATTTTGGAGGATAGAAAAATATCCATTTTTAACATAGCCGACAATTTGAATATAAGCTATGGAACTGTGCGCACCATTATTAAAGAACAATTGCAATTTAGAAAAATATGCTGCAGATGGATTCCACATTTCCTTAATTTGGACCAAAAACTTAACCGTATTCGGGTTTCAAAGGCTCAGTTAAAACGGTATGAAGAGGAAGGTGATCATTTCCTTGACCAAATTGTAACTGGAGATGAGAGTTGGTGTTATCATTATGATCCTTCGGCAAAACGTGCATCTATGGAATGGAAACGAGGCGACTCTCCAAGACCAAAAAAATTCAGGTCTCAACGTTGGCCGGTAAAGTTTTGTTAACTATTTTTTGGGATGTTGATGGACCAATCTGTCTTGATTTTCTATCCTCAAGGCAACGTATGAACAGCGACCTTTATTGTGACATTCTTGTAAATAAGCTAAAGCCCGGTATAGGTAACAAAAGAAGAGGGAAGCTTAGTAAAGGTGTTCTCTTCCTTCATGATAATGCAAGGCCGCATACATCATGTAAAACTGTATATACAATCATTAAATTAGGTTTTGTAGTTTTAGAACATCCTGCATATAATCCAGACCTAGCCCCCTCTGAGTATTTTCTTTTTGGGCTACTAAAGAAGGAGTTAAAGGGAAAGCGATTTGACTCGGATGAAGATGTCCAGAAAGTGGTGCAAGATTTTTTTCACACGCTTCCTAAGAGTGCCTATAAAGAGGGTATTTACAAGTTGCCAGAACGATGGAGACGATGTATAGAAAGCCAAGGTGATTATTTTGAATAAATCAAGTCCTAATTTTTAATATCGTTCTTATTTCTTTTAATAAATTAAAATTCACCTTATTTATTGATCCTACCTTGTATATTCATATAATCATTTACGATTTAGAGCAGTGTATTCCATATTTTTTTCTTTTTCATATTTATTGCAAAAAATTATGTTTTTTTCTGTATAGCTTGCTACATATGTTTTACTATATACATGTATGTTTGTTCCATGCAATAGTTTTATACTTATTAGCATTTATATTGTAAGCAGCTTCTATGATTTTTAATAACTGCTTTTTTTAGGGGTAGGCTCAATTTTTTGTTTTGCTGTCATTTATATAGGTAGGATTTATATTTATCTGCTTCATATTATATAGCTGCTCATATTCTATATTTTTTCTTTTTCATATTTATTGAAAAAATTTATGTTTTTGCTGTATAGCTTGTAACATATATTTTACTATATATTTGTTCCATGCAATAGGTTTTTACTTATTAGCATTTATATTGTAAGCAGCTTCTATGCATTTTTAGTAACTCCTTTTTTTAAAGGGTAGGCTCAATTTTTTATTTTGCTGTCATTTGTTTAGGTAGGATTTATATTTATCTGCTTCATATTATATAGCTGCTCATATATATCTACTAGCCGAATGACCCGGGCAACGCCCGGGGTTTACCCGATTAAATACTTTTATTCAAATACTATTGGTTACAATTATAAATTGGCGCCGTGGATGTCATTCTTGTATAATATATAAATGAGTCTTAAAAATTGTAAAAAAAAAAAAAAATTCATCGGCCGGGAATCGAACCCGGGGCGCCCGCGTGGCAGGCGAGCATTCTACCACTGAACCAAAAGCAAACGGTGACAGAATTAAGAACGCATGACGATGATAACTGTATATTATCCGTGACAGAGGCGGCCGATGAGGAAAGACGGTCGTGACTATATATAGTAATATGGTCCAAACATATTTTTTATTATATAGGTACAATTAACTTTAAGTAAAGAAATGTACAGTCAGCAATCTGACCTATGCGGGAGCCAGAATATGTTCTACTCATATTTATTGGGCAGTTTTTTCAACCAAATTAGACTTTTTTTTTTAGGTCTTCTTCCATTGTCTTTTTTTTTTGCTGTCATTTGTTTAGGTAGTATTTATATTAATCTGCTTCATATTATGTAGCTGCTCATATATATCTATATATTATAAAGGACTGCGGGGTATGATTATAAACAATACTTAAAGTTGCACCGCATAAGTTTCTTTTCTATGAAAAATCAATATTTTATTTCAAAGAGAAATATCTAGTATTTCTAACTTTTTTGAATGACGTATAAAAGGGTGAAAATATGAAGCGTACTTTAAGTATTAGTTACGAACGGAGAAATATGTCCAGAGTAGCCTAGTGGACATGGCACCTGCCCGGTGAGCAGAAGGTTGTGGGTTCGATTCCCGCCCCTGGACACTTTTATTTTTCCGTTCGCCATTACTCTTCATATTTTCATCCTTTCATACGTCATCCAATTATTATATATAGACCATTACGCTTCATATTTTCACCCTTTCATACGTCATTCAAAAAAGTTAGAAATACTAGATATTTCTCTTTGAAATAAAATATTGATTTTTCATAGAAAAGAAACTTATGCGGTGCAACTTTAAGTATTGTTTATATATCTATATGGTACAAACATATTTTTGAATATATAGGTACAATTAACTTTAAGTAAATAAATGTACAATCAGCAATCTGACCAATGAGGGAGCCAGAATATGTTCTACTCATATTTATTGTGCAGATTTTTTCAGCAAATTATACTTTTATTTTTTACGTCTTCTTCCATTTGATTTTTTTTATCAGTTGTTTTAAGTTTTCATTTTTTTTCCACTTCACTGAGTTTTATGCATTTTTCCCCTCCTTTCAGATTATTACTATGCATTTTTTTATTTTGACCTTAGTCATGAGTCGACCTTATTTTAATACACTATTTTTTAATTTTTTCTTCATTCTCAGCCCTTGATGTTTTACATTTTTCAGTTATCCTTATTTTTACTAATGCTTTGTGTTTGTAGGTATGCCAAGCCATCGGAGAAGCAATCTTTCTCAGCGTTCCAATAGCTCTAGGGTTCAGCATGCTTACAGACTGCGCGAAACCAGAGGACAGAATATTCGAAGATTGCGTGAACAGTCCGCGCGTCAAGCCGCTGTGCGGTCGTTAGAGACACCTGATCCCATCCATTCTCGCTTACAGGCGCATTCAGAGAGATATTCTTCTACTCGGAGGAATACTAGAACAAATATTTTTTTCAGCAGCGTTTGGTCTTCTATGGAAAATGCAGGTTTTAATTATTCTGTTGCTGTTGAATACCTCAAGCACCCTTTAATTTCCCTTGGGATGATGGACACTACATGCAGGTTTTGTGGAGCCTTAAGATGGAAAGATGAGTCTTCTGGAATGTGCTGTTCAAACGGGAAAGTCCGTTTGCCATTAATTGACTTACCTCCCGAGCCACTTCGCAGCCTATTATCTGGAGAGAATTCTGATTCAGTCCATTTTTTGCGTAATATTCGCACGACCTTCCGCTTACCGGGCAGATGCCATGACCACTAGGCCACAATTTATAATTGTAATAAATAGTATTTGAATCAAAACATTCAATCGGGTAAAACACGGGCGTTGCCCGGGTCATTCGGCTAGTATATATATAAATAATTAGAAATAATTATTAATAAAGCATTTAAGAGTGAATTAGTCACTTTTAAAAATAATTCATCGTTTGTCGTCAAACACGGCGGTTGTAATAATAATTATTTGAATTTTTACGTGAGCTTGATGGAATTGTAGCCCCGCGATATGGATTTAATGATGCCTGTTTCTATATGGATAATGCAAGAACGCACACCATCGCTGAATCAGTCTGCTAAGAAGCATCGTGGAGTTTTTGTCACCATATTCATATATGATTAATACAATTGATTTTTCATTTAGCAAAATTAAAACAATGTTATGGTCGCTGCTTCCTTGATGTGACATCACGTTAGGCGAGGTTATCACGGATGCAGCAATCAGTAGAATTACAACAGGAGACTGTGAAGGATGGTTTGCTCGCATTCGCAAAAATTGCTTCCTTGCCACACAAGAACACCAGTTTATCCAATAAAACCTGTTTCTAATTTATTTCGCGGTTATTTGCTCCTATAATAATGTTTTGTACTTAATGTCAAATGTATTTAATTAATCTTTATGATATTGTCTTTTAATTTTTACACATATTTTTTTTTTAAATGCGACGATTTCACTCTTAAAATGCTATATATAATATTTTATATTAATATATTTATTTATTTAACAGCTGTTAATTTATCATATTTTTTCTATAGTTTACATTCAAATAATCAACTCTAAACTATTTTAGATACTCGTTTAAAACGTAAATTGGGCAGAATTTAAACACAATTTTAAAATGATAAAGTCAGCAGCCGCTCTGCGCTCCAGGGTTATGAATATCTCTCTCTCAGCAATAATATGTACAGGATAAAGTTCTTAAAATATTATTATAAACTAGACGAATGGCCCGGGCAACGCCCGGGTTTTACCCGAGTGCGCATATATTTTAAAAACGTTTTAATTCAAATACTATTCGTTACAATTATAAATTGGCGCCATGGATGTCACTCTTGTGAAACGTCCCGTTCCAAACTGTGTGTTTTTAAAATGTTTTAATTAAAATACTATTCATTACAATTATAAATTGGCGCCGTGGATGTCTCTCTTGTGAAACGTCCCGCCCCAAACTGTGTGTGTCTTGAAAATATAAAAATAAAAATGTGAATTTTCATAAAGATTTCATCATGTCGATTTTTTTTTTTGCATTTCACCTACTAAATCGATAGAGATAATTACATTTGCAACATGAACTTAGGTATATTGACTAAATAGAAAACTGCATAGTAATAAAGATCATTTTTTAAAGGCACCATATCGTTTTTTTTTTTCAATAAAATCGGAACAAAAATTAACGATAAATAACGATAATTGCCTTAAAAAAAAAAAGAAACATTCGCGGTGATTTTGTCTTGCATTCGTTTATACAATTATTATATACGAATGACCCGGGCAACGCCCGGGTTTTACCCGATTAAATGCTTCTATTCAAATACTATTCGTTACAATTATAAATTGGCGCCGTGGATGTCATTCTTGTATAATATATAAATGAGTTTTAAAAATTGTAAAAAAAAAAAAAAATGCATCGGCCGGGAATCGAACCCGGGCCGCCCGCGTGGCAGGCGAGCATTCTACCACTGAACCACCGATGGTTATGAAAAATCCCATCCGTGAGCTTCAGACAAACTAACAGACAAACAGAATAAGGCAAATATATTATAAATATAACAAAGTATTCTAATTAATATGGATGTTGTAATAAAAATAGTTTCAATATCAATTTCTCTCTCTCTCTCTCTCTTGAATCTCCTCAGCGGTGAAGCATGCGATCTACGTTTTCTTCGTAGAGAGCGAAATACGTGGTGTCGCTGGAGACCCACTGGTGATCTTCCACCAAGCTCTGTAGTGGTGGCGCCATGTACATATTTGTGGCGACTACACTTTGCTTCAGCGAGCCGAACTAAGACGGCATCGGCGGGCGTCAACACTTCACTACGCATGCGCGTGGGACGTCATCAGAGACGCTGGCGACTTAGCGGTAAACAACAAGGCTAGTGCGGCGCCCGTTATTTCAACCGTTGCTTGGAATTTAGTTTCGTCGCGGGAGATCTCGGCTAGACCGAAAGCGGCTTCTAGCTGGCTTATCCACAGTTCAACGTTGTTGGGCCAGAATGGTGGTGCACGGAAAGCCAATCTTGATATTTGGGAGGGTGCCGTGGATGTTGGCCCTTCCGGATGTTCCGTAGTTGCGTCTTGCATTCTGGGGCTGTTGAAAGTTTTCTGGATGAAATAAAAAAATATATAGAAGTGTGATTAAAATAACTTTTGCATCACGTCCGGCTCACCAATTTGTAGGATGGTTGTTGATGTGCTGTGTTGGTGTGGCTTGTGGAAAGGCTGCCGATAAAATTATAATTAAAATTAATTTATTTAAAGCAAGAAATTATAAAGAGAAAAGAAGCAACGGTTGAAATAACGGCCGTCGCACTAGCCTTGTTGTTTACCGCTAAGTCGCCAGCGTCTCTGATGACGTCCCACGCGCATGCGTAGTGAAGTGTTGACGCCCGCCGATGCCGTCTTAGTTCGGCTCGCTGAAGCAAAGTGTAGTCGCCACATATTTATTGTATATAGTTGTATATATTTTTATTATAATAATCTCATCAAAATTGTCAATTTTTCACCTCCACTTAAATATTGCAGTCTGTGCACTTTTGCCTATATTTTAACGGGATATCAATAAGACTATGTTATTTATCTCTCTCTCTCTTTCTTGAGGTAAACAGGATTCCTGGAGTCACCACGTACACCAACTATCCAGGTTGACATGTCTAATGGTGGAGTTTATCAGATGTACTGTACTTGGTTCTGTACAGGGGTAAATATACCTAGGAGGATGATGGCTGTTTGGAACCTATGAAGGCGTGACATTTGTGGTGGTCGACAGTTTGTTCTTCATTGTGGAAAATGCTGATTTTTGAAGTATTTGATAATACTTTATGTAGTGAATATGTAATTGCAAAAAAAAAAAAACTCTATAAAAAGACAAGCGCTTATTTTATTAGAAGTACAGTTAAACCTGTCTATAGCGCCCCCTCTTGGGACTCACCAAAATAGGGTGCTATAGACAGGTCACTCTTAATGTAAATTCCATCGTACTACGTATTTAAAATCGGGCGCTATAGAGAGGAAGGCGCTATTTAGAGGGGGCGCTATAGATAGGTTTAACTGTACATTGACTTTAAATATGTGATTTGGTTTATTCAAATAAAAATCTATGGCCAGCCTTCCAGACTCAACCTCAGAATGGAACTTCCTGGTCAACTGGTTCAACTGAGCAATTAAAACAGGACGCGAGTAAAAGCGTTCAACACTAGTCTATACTAGTGAGCTGGACTCCCCGGGTAGTTGGCGTTCTGTGCTTCCTGGGTTATAAATATCTCTCTCTTAAACAACAACAGTATGTTTGTTTCTTAGTCATGCACGGTTTTCAGCTCGGATCTAATTGTAAGGTTAATTTCTTTTTGTAAGGATTGTTTAGAGAGAGAGAGAGAGGACTTCAAAATAGTTACGAATGATAAATTCTAAATTTCTATCTTAAATCTCTTTGGTAATTTAAGAAAATAAAAATTCAGAACTGACCTAAATTTTTTAAAATATCACTTTATATTTTCAATATATATTTTTACAAGTCTATAATTCTATTTTTATTGTTTTTAAATAAGCTCTGATCCACATTGAGTCCTTATGCATAATTAAATCAAATAGGTCATAGTTTTATTATTTAAAATACGAACCA